TAAAAGTTTGTAAAAATCTGAACTGTTTTTCATCGGAATTATAAAATTTATTATATTTAAGATATGTACTTATAGACTTTAAATATAAGTTTTACAATTCGGTTGGAAAACTTTTTTGTGGGGCATCCTAATATATGTATGTATTTCGGTGTGTATGTGCTACCTTATTGCACATACTTACCTACATACATACATAGTATATACATAAGGTCACATTTATCTGCATGCTCAGTACTTTCATACATACTTACATACATATATATAAATACATATTTAGCTGAATATTCATTTGTTTACATACTGTTGAATATTTGTTATTGTACTCGTAAGCCACCTTCAAATTGATTAGCATTATCTGTTGTCGTCACGGCTTTGCAAATTTTCTCCTACATAAACCGAAATAGCTTGGTTTTTTTTTATATACACACATACCACACAGTTGATCTTGCTAATTTATATCCACTTAAAACAGCATTGTAACTTTCACAAATTTTTGGGTGCCATCTATTAGAAGTTGTTTGAAAATTTTCACTTATGCCACCCACGCGTAGTATTTAACCAAATAAGGGGATTTCTGCAAAATTTATAATATTTACATAAGTATCATTTCACTTATGCACTTATATGGGTTGTGATAGTTTAACTTTAATAACTTAACTTTTACGTAATGTTAATTTTCTAGCGAATGATTAGCTTGCTAGTTAGCTCTCTTATTTTTTTTAATGGGGAGACAATGCCTTTATTAAAATTAGCTTAGCCTACTGCACTGATATCACCGCAAAAAAGCAGCTCTTTCTTTTTCTTGTTTTTAGGATTTATGAGCATGTTTACATGTACATATGTATCTGTGTTTTATTGACATTTTTAATTCGAGCAATAAACCGTTCAGCCGGGTTCAGTAAGCCATCTCTCACATGCAATTCGATGTGACAATGAAAAAAACGTTATAGTCAATTGCCAATTGCAAAAGTTATGTTTCCGGGTGATTCTTTCAACAAGTCTTTCGTTTTACAATACTTAGCAATTACCGTAATATCTGCCGTTGTGTAATTTATTATTGTTTAGTTTGTTTCAATTTCCTGTATCGACATTTTGCGAGATTTTTTAGTGTGACTTTTATTGGATTTGGATTGCGCAAAATTGCAAAATAGAGAAAGGCTGAATCAAAGCTTTTGGCAAAGAAAAGTAAAGTATCTAAACCGAATAACCTCTAACTTTTACATAATCTTGATTAAAGAGTCCTTTTTGTTAAGACATGCCATAAAATTAAGGCTTTCCTAGAAGAAATTTAGTTCTAATGAATATTCATATCGTTATCAAAATACATAAGTATTCGATATACATAGGAGCCGAATGAAATGAATAAGCCTTTAGGAGGTTTTTAGAGATATCTTGGAGTTAAAGCCCTTTCCTAGGAATTCTTCTTCTTTTTGCATATTAGTTAGCTTGGAGCAAATTTCAGTTGTATTCAAAGTAGATAAAGCTTTATTAAGAAGCAAGACTTCAGCCGGGTTCGGACTAAGAAACTTTATTTTCGCAGTGAATCAGAGGAAGATTGTGGAAGATTGAAATGCTTAGCAAATGTTCAATAAAGTTTTCGCAATATTTGGTTTTTCTGGTTTCTTGAAGATTTATACGCTATGAAAGTAGGTATAGTCAGCAACCAGTAAGTGCTTGGAAGCGGAATAGATGCTTAGACAGGCCAAGTTCTTCGGTTATCCTTTCGATAGAAAGGATATTATTATATTAAATACTAGGTTACTCTGGGTTTTGACGCCCACTGTGGCTGAGTGCGTTGAATCCCTGGTCTGAGTAACATCTAAATCAGGGGTCGGCAAAAGTAAAACTGTGCCTGTATTGGTGAGCGCAAGAGAACTGCTCCGCATTAGCAGCCCGGTACGAAATATAAAATATTTTATATATGCCTAGCATGATGGCACCTTTCGACGGTGTCGCGTTACGTTTCATCCACATAGTTGTGCATGTAAGTACAGTATTGCAGTGAGTGGTGAGACTAGCCCACTTATTACTTGCTTTTTTAAGAGATGGATGGATCCCTTAAAAAGAGCTCGCAGGTAGCGAGCAGCCTGGCCAAACCTTTCCAGTACTGCAAAAGTGGAACGTCCATGCCCTCTATTGCAAGTGCGTCCGTCTTCTTGTCGGCTGGTGCGTTCTGGTTCCAATAATGCAATACTAAAGTTCAGACTACTTACCCATCTCGTTTAGGGATCTGCAGGAGTCGTGTGTGTTGAGACTCGCACTAAACACAGTTTTAATAAACAAAATCTAAAAAATCCGTCATACTTGCAAATATATGTACATTAGTGTGGTCCTTAACTCTAGAAAGCAAATTTTTACATCAGATTTCCTAAGCCTCAACCTCTACGTCGATGCTATATATCCAATCAATCGATACCAAAATTTATATGTCGTTCATTTGATTTTAAAGACCACCTTAATGTACCTGCATACATACAGTGTTCAAACAAATGACCACGTGTTGATTTTTTTTTCAAATATGTATTCGTAATGTGTTTCGAGTTAAATTTTTTTTTATGTTATTTCCCTATTAAAATATCGCTTTAACCAAAACCGTATAAATCATAGTTTCAAACTTTATACAAAATTTAAGAAAATTCAATCGCGTATAAAATTGTATGGGCTATAAAACTGCATACCCAAAAATTCCGAATAAAAATTTTGATGAAAATTTGTAGAATTTTCCTAAATTTTGTATAAAGTTTGAATACCGTTTTGGTTAAAGCTTGAACGATATTTTTATAGAAAAAAAAAAAAATTTAGCTCGAAAAACATTAGGAATATTTGAAGAAAAT